ACAGCTATTGCTTCTTTTCCTCCTTTTCATAATAACTTGATGACTTTTTTCCAGAAGTTTTTCTGCACAAAATTGTATCCCTGTCGTTGGTATTAGTCCTTTCGTACCCACGACAGTTCAATACTAAATTTCGGCACATCCATTCTAAATACCTCAAGCCCGAGTGCGTAAATAGAAGCCGATTGGTGTCTACGACAAGGTAAATCTGTGGAGTACAGGCAACACTTGTGACTAGGCGGAGTGCGCCGTTGCATTATGGTCGTAAAAGAAAACGTAAGTCATTTACATCCTGTCGTGGTCGAGTAAACATCTCTTGTGGCAGCGAGAATAGCGTGAATATAGGTGCATTGTTACCGTTTGTTCCTTCTAAAGTTCAAAAAGCGTCGGCGGGCCTGCGTGATTCTGCCAAGTTTCCTTCGTGACGAATTCGTTCTTGCTTAACAGTGTATTTAATAAATGGCAGCAGTTACACTCACAGCCTATGGCAGCAAGAATAATATCAAAGTCAGAAATTACATTCTTTGACGCGAGTTATTTAACAGGGAATCGACCTTTAATGTGTAAACGCATTACAAAGAGACAGACCTTCTTAAACACGACCTTTTTCCGGGTCATCAAAGGAGAAGAGCTTTGCCTCCTTACTGCATTCGTCACGCTATACGTTTAACAGAACGTACAGAGTTTTCTAGTACACTTAAATAATAGAGGATACCCAGATGAAGGTTTTGAAAAACGTCTCGCGGGAAAGGTTACTTAAAAACAAAGAAAATAGTACACATAAGAGAATATTGTCTTTTGTAACACAATCTCATCCTGCTTTGCCAAACCTCAAGAACATACAAATGCGGAAATGACGCCTAAAAACTAACCCTTATTATCATATCACAAAGGAAAGTCATTCAAAATTATCCTGGTAGACTGGTAACAGCTAAACTTTAAAAGGGGAAGATTTAAATCGCTAGCGAATGGCAAGAGTCACGCACCGTCGGAATGTAGAGTTATTCATTGGTTAAGTGACTCATTTCATTGCTCTTGTTCATCTGTCCTTCATTTAGAGCCCAAGAAAGAAGATTTACTATACAACATTCGCGATTAGTTGATTTGCTTTTACTCAGGAAAGTAGATTTACAATACGATTGAGACAATAGTAGGGGTGGTACGGGTACGAAACAACTAAACCGACTGAGTACAAATGGTCTTGCCTGGGTACGAGTCGTACGCGTACTCTCTTCGTGTAATACCCTGGCTTAATAGGAAATTTTCCGCTCAAGCAAGATAAAGGTTACCGAAATGGCATGGACTCTTTCAAGATCTCTTTTGCTAACTTAAATAACGCATGTATTGGTCCAGAGACCTTTGCGCTATCTACAAATGTGAGCTACAAATGATGGTGAGCTCATGCCCGCATCATAGCTGAATTGTAGTGATTTGTTCTCATTGAGGTGGTTCTTGTGCGGGGCTCAATTTAAGGGCTAATCATGACGGAACCTTGATCAAACTCCTCAAATCCTTAAAAAATTCTCTGATGATTTCGGGGCTGATGAAACAATTCTAAATAATGAATTTAAAATGTGGTTTTATTGGTACCCGAAAAAAAAAAATCTTGACAGAATGTAACAATTTTTTAACAAAGAGTGGAAACAGTTTATCTAACAATGGACAAATACCCATAGATGACAAAGAAACTCTACCCTTTTGGGCTCGATGCCTTACTTGTTTTCGTTTGTCTGAGGAACCTAGATGTTCAAAATGATGCCAACTTAGCTCTTAAACCCACTTAGTATTCCATAACTCCCAAAGAAAAGTCTGGTTCGTTGCAAAGTTGTAATGTATCAACACAAGGAATTGGCAACAGTTTCGATTATTTACCTTCACATTAAGTGCAATTCTCCACTCTTTATTTTGGTCGCAAAAAGATTCAAAATCACTAGTATCTCGTTTTGTTACCATGAAAGATCTTTGCGAACAAGCAAGATCAGCAATTAATCAAACGACTTAACCTTACGAGCTACAGTACCCGTTAAAACAGAACTAATTATTTGCTTACTGAAGGCTTTTGAAAGTGCCAGAATAATCAAGAAAACTGCGATAAAGCTACTAAATGTTAGGATACAAATGGCAAAGACATGAAAATCAGTCAGGTAAGGACATAGTCAACATGAAGTATGACATTCCTTGTTGTATCCATCTGCAAAATCATCTGACAGACCTTTTAGAACTGAGAACGCAGACACACGGTTCTTCGTAGTAGTCTGCTGCCATGGTACAGCACTCGAATGACTTGAGATAAAGCCGCCAGCGCCACCAGGATGCAAGCTATGGCTGGTAGAAAGCCAAGCAAAGCCACCTCAATCCACTCCAACGCGTAGAAAAGGTTCTGTTCAGGTCCAGCAGGCTCGAGTCCCTGGGCGATAAGGGTGACTTCTGCCAAGTTGAAAGTGCAAATAGCAACCAGACTCATAAGAGACAAGGTTTCACAGATGTTGGCTTTACGGTCACGGAATGGCCTCGATATAAGATGATGTMCAAGATAGGCCAAGTCCACCATGGACAAAGACAGAATTTTCGTTGTTGAGAAAGGACGTGTTTGATAATGATATACTCCCATTGCCAAAGAGGTTGTCAACTCTAACTGATACCGCGAAGCTGTTGTCTTCGTGGCCGAGCTCTTGGAAAATAGACTCAGTGATTGAGACTAATACATGAATTGGATACGGTATAACTACACTGGCTTGTGATCGGACAAACACGGCACCTGTTGCATTTCTAAGATCAGAAGTGACTTTAAAACGTCCCTTTGCGCCTTCGAATAGGCATCTTGATATGTTAGTCTCAACAATAGCGTTGGGCAACATAGCAAGTATAGATTTTGCATTGTACCGGAACTCGCTATCAGTGGCTACGAGACTACACTTTTCAAGAATGACGGAATTAATCTCATTCCATAAAATACCAACGGCTGCCTTTCGGAAGTTGAAAAACTTGCTCTTAGTGATGGCGATATAATAGGAAGACACATTGGCTAAGACTAAACCATAAGTTCCATTGTCGAATACAAGATTTGAGAGGAAAACCTCAGCAAAACTATTCCTGAGCTTTGGACCAAACTCGATGCCACATGAAGTGTTGAGGAATTTGCTATCAGTAACCTTGAGAAAAGACCTCTCGCGGATGCGTGAAAAATTCCCTTCCCATAGCATAAAAACGGCTTTCTCGCAGTTGATAAACTTGCATTTGGAAATGACGACATCGTAGGAAGGCACATTGAAGAAGAATAATCCGTATCTACTATTGTTAAATACAAGGTTTGAGAAGGTTCCTTTGGCCAGGTATAGTTTCAGTGAGGGCTTAGGAATGTGCCGGAACCTGCTTATGACTCGATGGATGGCATAAATCATGGCAATGGAGAGCAGAGTCGCCAGGAACTTCAAGCCCAAAAACAGCTCTTTAGTCACGACATTGAGTCCAGGAAAAGGGCATCCAATGCTGCCGTTAATGGTCTTTACCTGGAAATTAAAAAGTGCGATGATTCGGGTAACATACGGAAATATGTGATCCGCTTCCTCAGGGGACTTGATCATCAGTATTTCAGCAACTTGATAAAAGTAGAAGATGGTCTTCAAATACCCAGCATCATGTTCTTCATCATTCCCTTCATGTAGTGCTGCGTGTCTTTGGCTGCTATTGGATTTCTCTCTGAACCACAAGCATTGCCGAAACAACCAAGGAAAGATTGGAGGCTTAAAAACGAGATAGAGAGCCAACGTTATTACGTAGATTAAACTCACTATCCAAAACCAGTAATCATGGCATTTTTCTCTCTCTCGACACGATGTGGAATAGAGATCTTCGCTGAAACCTTCGGCGCATTGACCTCATAAAATGCCTGTTCTGCTGCCATGGCAACTATTGAAAGCCTTTGCATTCGGACGAACAGGAGGTTTGCAGTATTTCAGTGGACAGGGATGAAACTCCAGCTTAGTTGATAGTGGTGAAGAGTAGAAACCCCAAAAGTTTTCTTGGGCTTTAATTTCTCCATTTTCACACGTTGCCCCATATGGGCATCTAAGACACTTTGTTCCCTTGTGAATATCCAGACCACTAGACGCTCCCCTTTTTAAACTGTAGAACCCATCCTGACACTCTTGACAAGAAATTTTGATATAAGCTACGCGTAGCAAGCAAGTATCATTTCTTTTGACAAGTTCCAAACTGGTTTGTCTGGTGATATTTTCTAGCTTGACTTGCTTTCTATTCGGACATTTTAAGGATGTTGACCTGTCGATCTTTATGGCAGTACTTTTCGTCGCTGCAAATATTGGATCGAATTCGTCACTAACGTCTGTTACAAAGGACGAATTTTGAATCTCTAACGTACCAGTGCTCTCTGACCGAAGAAAACTACCAATACTTGACACACGACCATGATTTTTCAAACTTGATGAAGTTGTCGTTTGCAGAAAGTCACAATTAATGATATTAAGAAGGCTGAAGCCCGTCTTTACATACACGTGACCTCCCAAAACCAGTCCCTTGTTGTTTTTAAACTCGCAGTTCTTGATGGTGACATTGCCTTTCAAAAAGGTTAAGACACCAGCAATACCTACGTTATTTTCAAATATAGAATCTTCGAATATTACCGGCAGCCCATATTTTTCGCTCCACACCGTTTCTTTGAGTTCGTTTTCTTTTGTTCCCTGCGGACATTTCGGTGGATCGTTGTTCGGAAGTTCAATTTTGACAGTTGCTCGTTCATACAATTGATCCAAAAATTGAGCGTTGTTAATAAACCTGCATTTCTTCACCGAAATCAATCCAATCACATTCTTTTCTACACTAACTGACAGTGCACAGCCATGTAACCCATGGAAAGTAACGTTTTCAAGAAGTAGTTTTGCTTTAAGATCTGGTGACAAAGATACTTCTTCTTTGCTTGGTTTCAGCACCGCACGGCTATAGCTGTGTTTAGGGAAACTCATCCCAAANAGACGTTTGGTCAATAGAGGCCTTTCTCGAAAGAAAAACGTGAGCGGAATCGAAAGTGAGGGTCCTTTTTTAATTAGATTGCGGGACAAACATTGCTTATCTGGGTGTTGAGTTTCTCTCGAAATATATTTCCAGTTTCCTGTGTAGGAAACCAGCCATTATGCCGGCATAAACAAGAATTTAAATCGATCAACCATTTTAAGAATGATCATCATCAAATTTCGATGCTTGTTCGTCCCTGATCCGAAAGCCGCCAGATTGTGTTGGTTACTGAAAAAGCTGACAAATGAAAACTGAATGTGTTCGAACCGAGACAAAGCTTAGAATGGCTCGGAAGCTGGGAGGCTAATCATGACGGAACTTTGATCAAAATCCTCGAATCCTTAAAAAATTCTATGATGATTTCGGGACTGATGAAACAATTACAAAAAATTATTTTAAAATGTGGTCTAATTGCTACCCGAAAAAAAGTAATCTTGACAGAATGTAACAATTTTTCAACAAAGAGTGGAAACAGGTTATCTAACAATGGATAAATACCGATAGATGACAAAGAAACTCTACCCTTTTGGGCTCGATGCCTTACTTGTTTTCGTTTGTCTGAGGAACCTAGATGTTCAGAATGATGCTAACTTAGCAATTAAACCTACTTGGTTTTCCATAACTTCCAAAGAAAAGTCTAGTTCGTTGCAAAGTTATAATATATCAGCACAAGGAATTGGCAACAGTTGCTATTATTTACCTTCATATTAAGTGCAATTCTCCACTCTTTATTTTGGTCGCAAAAATATTGAAATCACTAGTATCTCGTTTTGTTACCATGGAAGATCTATGCGAACTAACAAGATCAGCAAATGGTAAAACGACTTAACCTTACGAGCTACAGTACCCGTTAACACAAAGAACTAGATATTTGCTTACTGAAGGCTTTTGAAAGTGCCAGAATAAACACGAAAACTGCGATAAAGCTACTAAATGTTAGGATACAAATGGCAAAGACATGAAAATCAGTCAGGTAAGGACATAGTCAACATGAAGTATGACATTCCTTGTTGGATCCATCTGCAAAATCATCTGACAGACATTTTAGAACTGAGAACGCAGACACACGGTTCTTCGTAGTAGTCTGATGCCATGGTACAGCACTCGAGTGACTTGAGAAAAAGCCGCAAGCGCCACCAGGATGCAAGCTATGGCTGGTAAAAAGCCAAGCAAAGCCACCTCAATCCACTCCAACGCGTAGAAAAGGTTCTGTTCAGGACCAGCAGGCTCGAGTCCCTGGGCGATAAGGGTGACTTCTGCCAAGTTGAAAGTGCAAATAGCAACCAGACTCATAAGAGACAAGGTTTCACAGATGTTGGCTTTACGGTCACGGAATGGCCTCGATATAAGATGATGCACAAGAGTCACAACACAGGCGAAATCGAGACAGATGAGTCGTGTCAAAGGATCAGTGATAAAGTTACGAATGGTCAGAAGCAGGAATCTGCGGCCGGTCAGGACACTTTCCCAGTACAGTGTACCATAATCATCACCACAGGGTGGACGGAATGGGTCATGGAGAACTTTCTTGATTTCTTCGGCATCGCGGGTATTCTTCCTAAACAGTTCAAAATCGTGCAAACTTTGTTTCTTGAAAAAGAAGCGATAGAGCCAGATGAAAAGAAAAGGCAGAGGGAATGCACAGGAAGTCAAGAACTCTTTGGCGGACAATTTGTCTTTGGAAAGCAACACTGATCCCCAGAAGAGGACGAGCACGAGGGGAATNGAAGAGTAGCAACCCCAAAAGTTTTCTTGGGCTTCAATGTCTCCATTTTCACATGTTGCGCCATATGGACATCTAAGACACTTTGTTGCCTTCTGAATATCCAGACCATTGGAAGATCCTCTTTTTAAATTATAGAATCCATCCGGACACTCTTCACAAAAAAATTTGACGTAAGCAACGCTTATCCAGCAAGTCTCACGTCCTTTAACAAGTTCGAAACCGTCTTCTTGGGTGTTGTTTTTAAGAGTGATCTGTTTTCCATCTGGACATTTAAAGGAGGTTGAACTGTCGATCTCTATCGTACTGCTTTTCGTCGCTGCAAATATTGGATCGAATTCTTGATTAACGACTGCTACAAAGGACGAATTTTGAATCTTTAACGGACCAGCACTCTCGGATCGAAGAAAACTAGCAACAGCTGACACGCGGGAATGACCTATTAAATTTTGTAGGAAGCTACAATTATTGATGTTCAGAATGCCGAAACCTGTCTTGATGTAGACATGACCTCCTAAAGCCACTCCCTCATTGTTTTTAAATGCACAGTTCTTGATAGTGATATTGCCATTCAAAAAATTTAATGCTCCAGCGATGCCCACATTGTTTTCAAATGAAGAATCTTCAATCATAACCGGTAGCTCAGACTTCTTGTCCCACATCAGTTTCTTACTTTCGTTTCCTTTCGCTGCACCTGGACATTTTGGCGGATCGTCGTTCGGAAATTCAATTTGGATAGCTGCTCGTTCATCTAATCGATTCACAAACTGAGTGTTATTGAGAAATCTGCAGTTTTTTACCGAAATCAGTCCAATCACATTCTTCTCTATAGTAACTGACAGTGCACAGTCATGTAACCCCAGAAAAGTAACGTTTTCAAGAAGTAGTTTTGCTTCAAAATCTGGTGACAGATAAACCTCTTCTGTGCTTGGTTTCAGAACTGCACGAGTATCGTTCCGTTTAGGCAAACTCATCCCAAATCTGATTGCATCCCCAGCGCCTAATGTCTCGTTGCCTCCCAGTATAAGACTGTTTCTTACAATAAGCGTTTGGTCACCCGTTGAACAATACCGAGCCGTATTATGTAAACAAGTAGTCGTTGACATCCTTATGCCAATCCGGTTGTTTGCTAGGATGCAATTTTCAAGAAAAACCCTCACACCTGGCGCTTTGATTAATGTTTTAGGGGGAGCACTGGCCATAATGGCATAGCCGTATGTGGAATTCACCGTCACGTTAGTGAAATTCAGGCCAAGTCCACCATGGACAAAGACAGAATTTTCGTTGTTGAGAAAGGACGTGTTTGATAATGATATACTCCCATTGCCAAAGAGGTTGTCAACTCTAACTGATACCGCGAAGCTGTTGTCTTCGTGGCCGAGCTCTTGGAAAATAGACTCAGTGATTGAGACTAATACATGAATTGGATACGGTATAACCACACTGGCTTGTGATCGGACAAACACGGCACCTGTTACATTTCTATGATCAGAAGTGACATTAAAACGTCCTTTTGCGCCTTCGAATAGGCATCTTGATATGTTAGTCTCAACAATAGCGTTGGGCAACATAGCAAGTATAGATTTTTCATTGTACCGGAACTCGCTATCAGTGGCTACGAGACTACACTTCTCAGGAATGACGGAATTTATCTCATTCCATAAAATACCAACGGCTGCCTTTCGGAAGTTGAAAAACTTGCTCTTAGTGATGGCGATATAATAGGAAGACACATTGGCTAAGACTAAACCATAAGTTCCATTGTCGAATACAAGATTTGAGAGGAAAACCTCAACAAAACTATTCCTGAGCTTTGGACCAAACTCGATGCCACATGAAGTGTTGAGGAATTTGCTATCAGTAACCTTAAGAAAAGACCTCTCGCGGATGCGTGAAAAATTCCCTTCCCATAGCATAAAAACGGCTTTCTGGCAGTTGATAAACTTGCATTTGGAAATGACGACATCGTAGGAAGGCACATTGAAGAAGAATAATCCGTATCTACTATTGTTAAATACAAGGTTTGAGAAGGATCCTTTGCGGACAAAACCATATTTGAACCTTGACGCAAATATCAAGCCACATGAAATGTGCGCTGGGGAGGACACACCTTGTATCGATACATCTTTTTCTATAGCTTTGAACTCAGTTCCATTAGGGCCATGGGTTTTCAAACATTCATATGGATTTGACTCACTGTTTGTTCCGTTGAGGCAAATTTTGCCACCATCGTTAACCAAGAGAAGCGCTTGTGGTAATGTCCGGCAGGGCGTAGCAAAAGTACCACACTGAGGTGAGTCTTCACCGATGAGATGGGATACATAAAGACATCCAGTCTCTTGGTCTTGCGCACCTGAAGATAACGAATGTTTTTTTACAGCAACGTGGTAATCAGTTGCAAAACAATGTAAAATAAGTGTTTCCGTTATTTTCAACGATTGAAGGTATTAAGGTGTAACAGTTTCAAAATGGTGGTCCTTGAAAGCTTTTAGTGCACAAGTGCACATGCACGCATGCTCTCTGACAAATGCCACCAACGTAAACAAAATATTAAGCTCTTACGGACCAAACGTCATTAGTCATTATACCATACCTAAGTTCAGTAAGAAGCAAGAATGCTGAAATATTCGACTAAATTCTTGTTGAGTATCTGACATTTGCCTTTCTCCCAATTCGTGTTACTCATATTGACAGACCAAAAAATGGAATCTCGTCGGAAGACTAGAATCGACTTAAAAAAGTCTTGACTGTCAAAGTTCTTTCGAAGTGAAGGAAACTAATTGTAACAAAAGCTATAAATCTAAAAAGCGAATTCTACACCAATCACTCTGTAGTAGTCGGTTTCGATCTTTGATTTAATATCAAGATAAGTAGCTGCACGGAAACAAAACAAAAAAAAAATCGAGCCAAACACAATATCATATGCCATATATTAGCCTTAGAGCGAACACATATTCCATTGATCTCTTGTATCTCATCTTTCGGATACTAAGGGAATTTTCAGTCTGTTTACGACACATTACGCAGTCAAAGGGGAACAATCCCACGGTCGACCACGTGGAATAACTTGGCCAGCAAAAATTTAACTTATCTTTGCAAGAGTAAAATAAAAAGTACGTTGGGAAATTCGCGCAAGTTCTTTAATGGAACATTACGTTATTTCCGAGGTAGATTCCGATTACATCGTTATCTCACCAGGTGAGGTTATTTTTTCATTTTAACAATGAAACGCTAATCGACATTACTAAAGGCAACAAAACTGGGTCGTAATAATTCTGCTCTTTTTCAGCCTTGTAAAGATTGAGAAACTTGGCACTCGTGGAAGCGTTTTGCTATCAGACGGTTCAATATTAAAGTAACATACCTGACCTAAGTGATGGAAGACGAATGAAAGTATGAATTAAAATGGACGAATTCGACGTTTTAATCTACCAAATGTATAAAAATTTAATAAAACACATTTGAAAACATCAATTCCATGCGAAAGGTGTAAACACAGCCAAGTTAAACACCGGCTAAATTGGGCAATGTAAGATATTTTTCTTTGGTTTTGGTAATGAGATGATAAAAGTGAACAAATTTATACCTTAATTTGTCAAGGATATCAAAACTGTTTGGAAACTTTGATTTATTTCAGTCGAGATCAATATACAATATGGCCACTAATTTCTTTGTCCGGTTTGGCAATCTTCTGAAACTATTTTATGTGCAACAAAACATCTAGAATTCATGAAACTTGCCCTAAGATTGTCAGTAAAAGAGGACTGAAATATGTTTGTTTTTAGTCCATGAGCAATCACGATCAGTGTGTGTTTTCCCACAACGATTCAGGATTCCAAGGACTACCCCAAGATTTCGAAACAATCCAGCGTATCATAATATGGAAAATTGCAACAAAATATAACCTTGATATCCAGAACTTTATTGTTTCGAATGGAAAATATACGTGGAAACAAACAGGAAACTTAAACTTGTGACGCCATTCTTAAAAAAGTCCTTAATTTCTGCTTACGTAAATTTCAGTTGAAATTGTTCATTTTACAGGCAGGGAAAGCTGATTTTAAAACTTAAACTCTGAACCAAGAACTCAGCAGTGTTTTCAATTGAAAAAAGTTAAGAAAAACTTTGCAAATAGTTACTTACCAGTAGTGGGGATTACAAGTAGAATTAAAGGCAGTAATTTAAAGGAAGAGAAGCTTAGTAGCGGATGCATCTCACTGAACGCGAAACTGCTCTGTCATAAATCTGTTAAACTTGTTCCTTGCCACTGATATATATATATATATTCATTGATCACCGTGGGAACTCAATATAAAGAAAGTTTAACATAATGATATTGATAGCAATATTGCAAGTTATTTTTGGATAATACTTCAACTGGGATAAGCAAAAAACAAAGAACGAAACAAATGACGCTATCTTTTGCAACAAAACGAAAAGCTTAGCTTCTGGGTCAAATATTAGAACGTGTACTCCGATGAGGAGAATCGATTCTTTCTAATGGGAACGGACAAAAAGTTCGGGCCCAGGTTAATCAGGCCGGGAATCAAACGCAATATGGAATGTATGAGCATTGGAGTTCGAAGTGCGATGGTGTGACTTGAGTTGGAGTGCTGTGGATTAGTGGGCCTCGTCATTAAGAATTAAAACAACGATTTCGGAAGTGTAAATCAATCAAAAAATTAAGTTTTGGTACGAGAAACAGTTAATGTGAAAATATTACATTCGAGATATCTATTTGGAGTCAAAATTATGCAGAGTCATGACGACATTAGAGCCGCCACGTCATAACAGTCAGTATGATTATTTGAGAAGAAGAACAACAAAATATCAGTTGATGTGAGAAAAGGTATTACTAACTGACTAACGACGGAGGAGGTCAATCCGAGCCTGGAAAAATTTAAAGCAAATTTCGCAGGTAAAACCCTGAATTAGCTCTGAGAAAGAAAGGTGGTTTTATTTGCGATAAAAAAGCACGGTAACTAATAAAGTCAATATCAGACAGTAAATACCGTGTGTTGCCGGCCTCTCGAATATACTCAAGATACATGCCAGATTTGCTTCCGTGCTCAAAATCGGCGTGCAAGAGCTATGAAAGGAAATTTTGAGTGAATTTTTGATATGTAAAACCACTGACTTCCTTTTAATGGAGACTTTTTACAATATTGTATTTCACTAACTCAGATGGAAAACCACAAAAGAGGTCATACGAAAGAAACAGAAAACAAGGATCACTCACAATTGAGGAGTTTTACGACCGATTTGATCTGAAAGACGTAAGAAATTTAGGCTAAATTTTTCAACATGCATAAAAAAAATGTCTAAATGCCTAGGTGGAGAAAAATTTACTCTAGTGAAGCAACCTTTGCAGCAATTTCAAACGAAGCAGAGTCGATGAGAGCACAGTCATTTGATCAATATTAATCGTACAAGCTTTGGAGAGCTGTGCGTAGATGCCAATGTTTCTTCCATGCTGCAAAACCATATGTTGACGACTGTACAGAACTCCATGGGGATAAATATATTTACTCCAGCCGCAGAAATTACGCCTGAGGCAGAACTCATTGTAACAGGTTCGGAAAACTGTGCGAATACTTGGACAGTACAAAGCTTTCTTTCCTACTGCATGATTATACACAGAAATCCTTTCGCCGTACCTTTTGCCTTAAGGAAAGTAATTTACTCGACTGAAGTCGCTGAAACTCGGTCAAAACCGCATTACAAAGCAAGGTCGCTCAATCGGCATGAAAGGCAAAAAGTTTGAAAAACCTTCTGCGGTTACAACTCATTAAACCGGAAAGAAATTCGCTCAAGTCGTATAAATTCAAGTCGAAACCACTCGCGAAGTGAGGGAGAGCAAAATCGTTTGATCGAAATTCCGAATTTCAGAAGCCAAAACAAACAGTATAATCAGCGTTTCTTTGCCATTGCATAACTAAATATTTGGCATCGCCTCTCTACTCAAAGATAGGATATCGATCTCCACATTTATATCGCTTAATTGTCGAAAGGGAGAACCGACCCGAATCGACTTTGAAAAACTTTCAGTGGTAATTACAAATAAAAGAATTGTTGGTTACTTGCAGCATAACTATACATTCTCTTTTTTCCTGCAACGGACAACTGATTAAAACGTTCATTTTCTGTCTATCAACTAACATGATTGCTCTTAAAATATTTTAAAACAAAAATCTACTTGAAAACAACTGCGCTCTGACTGGGGTTTCATTCATTCTATGTAAACAATCCTCAGTTGTACATCACATGTAAACCAACTCGTCTTTCTTTCTATCATAATTTAATAATTTCCTTCTTTTCCTTTCTTTTTTTCTCTTTGTTTCGAATGTCTGTTTTTCCCACTTTACTCTCCGTATTGACACTTAATCGGGAAGATCTCGACAGATGGGAAAAACTGCACACCCTGGCTTCAATTTCATTACTTGGTTTCTGTGTGCAGAAAATAGAAAAAAATATTAAAACCCTTTCTGACAGAGCGACAACCAGTATGTTAAATGGTCCCCAAATAGTTTTACTCAACACAAATTCATTCTCCTTTTAGCATGGGGAGATCGATGTTTAATTTTAAAATTCAAAACTGTATGGCTTAAGTACAGAACACAGCTGTTTAAATATAATCAATGTACGCCGAGCAAACAGACAATACCTGAAAATCTAAATGAAATGACGGTTCAAGCATGAGTTAGACAACAATAAATTCAAACCATACTTCGCTCTTTTAAACCAGAAATGGTCAATTCAAGGATGTTACTAAAACTGGTAACGGGTAACGGGGAACGGGAAACGGGGAACGAGTGTACAGCGGTAACCCACCTAAGAATTCAAAATGGCGGAGAAAACGATGTTTACAAACACTGATTTTATCGCTAGGTCGCCGCTTGCAGCGAAATTAGACGACTCGCTTTTATTTTACTATTGCCCAGGCGAAGCCACGAAGCCTAGTATTCCGAGGCGAGAATTCGAAGTCAACATTTCTGCAATGGCTGCCACCATTTGTTCTGACGTCTCTCTTTGTTTTTCCTTCCTGAAATCTGCATCTTTTGACAGAGTTTGGGTATGTAGGTTGTTTGCATCGCCCAACAGCATTTTTTGCAGATAAGTAGCAAGGAGATAATATCTCAGATTAACAGAAATGAGCTAGGAAACGTAATAA